ACCGAGACCTGTGCAAGCCAGTAAGTATCTCTCAGACGTGCACACGCGGTGCCAGGCGTGTCAGGGGGCTCCCCACGCGGGGGCGGGTTCCTGCCGGAGGCACGTGGCCTCTTGTTTGTTAAAGTGGAAGGACTAAGAGAAATCACAGAAAGACAGTGCGAGAGAAGTGGGTGTACAGCACTTCCTGGGCCGGGGCTCCTGGGAGGCAGCGAGACAAGGCGCAGGGCGGCCGCGGAGACGGACCCACGGGGCTGGAGGCCTCGCGGTGCTTGTGTGCCAGCTCCTGCACACGGCCAGGACAGGGGGAGCGTCATGCCCCAACACGGGGCTTTTCTGTGGCCTCTGCTGTCATTGCCACTAGGGCCCCACACAGACGACTGCCCCCCAGGAATACCGCTGCCCCGAGCCTCTGAGGGCGCGGGACCTGTGTGGCACGGTTCCACCAGCATCCTTGGCAGTGACTTCTTACCTGTCCCCGTCAGAGAACACTCACCGCTCACCAGACTCTTGTTTTGAACCTGAAACGGGTGGAGCTGTGCCTCTTGGGCTGGCCGGTTCCCTTTGCCGATTAGCTAGTGGCCTGAAGGCGTGGGAACACCTGCCTGGTGGTGGTGGGGCCACTGTGCTGGGCCTGGGGCCTGCAGGTGACCACATACATGTGCCCACACTCACACTCAGCCTTTCACGGCTTTTGGGTACCTAAGAAATAGTTATTGTTTCTTTGGTTGGTTTGGTTCAGCGCCTTTTGTCTGAAGTTACGGTGCTGTCCGTTAGCTCTCTCGGTTACCGTTAGCCCGGTGTGTCTTCTGGGTCTCTCTCCCTGTGACCTGAGCCTTCGCGTTGAAGGGACTTCCTGCAGACGGCAGGAGCTGGGCCTTCCTCCCGGGTGGCGTCTCATGGCGCGGTGTGTTTGGACCATGGTGCTGAAAGCGATGGTGATTAGTAGCAACCATGAGTGTGTGTTTCCCACCGAGTCCTGGAAAAGCTGCAGGAAGTAGGCTGACATGGGATGCCGGGGCTAGCGAGGGATTTGTGGAGGACACTCCCAGTTCTTCCATCTCCATAGCACGTTCTGCTGATGGCGATGTGAACGGTCCTTCCGGAGATGCAGGGGTTGGGAAGTACTGTTCAGGTCAAGTGCTTAATTCGGGGGGCTCCTTGTGGGTCCTGCACGGTTGAGCCGGGTGAGCAGGGCACCTGGGTCATGGGGTCGGCTGAAGTGATCTGGGTAACTGCTCCCTGCTCTGAGGCGGGCGGGGCCTCATGGCTGCCCCACGGGTGGCTCCGGGTGGTGCTGGGTGGCTGCTCACAGTGGCTCTGCCAGGACAAAGCATCTTCCACCTGGGGTGTGGCTTCCTTGTCCACGCTCCACACCACTTCCCGGGCCTCACAAGTGGTGTCGGAAGGAGACCCCTCCCTGGCCCAGGGCGGACCTGTGTTCAGAAGTGTGCTGATGGAGGTGTGGGGACTCTCCCTGGCCTCACGGGCTCCTGCTGGCTCCCTCTCCTGAGGAGCCGGAGGACATCCTGCAGCCCCGGGCAGTTCGGCTTCCAGACGGGGTCCCCGGCCCGGCAGGCCTGTGGGCCGCCGAGTCGGCGCAGGGCTTGTGGTGAATGGACACCTGGTGGCTGGAGACACGGCCCGTCCGCCTTCCAGGGCGCACCTCCCTGCCTCCCTGTGTCTCCTCCAACCCTGTCACACCACAAGGCGGCCTCACTCCTGCTCCCACCCCCCAGGCCGGTCTCGCCCTGCTTCCCACCCGCTGTGGTGCCACCCCCAAGCCATCTTGTTCTGTCAAAATAATTCCTGCTAAGTTTGCATATTCAGATTTTCTGTCACCGAGTTTTCTTTTTTATGTTGAACAGTTGCATTTTTAAAGGAAGCTTGACAGTTAGTTGTGTGTTTTAAAAGGAACGTACATGTGGATACTGATACACTTTCTCACAATTCCATCCTTATCGCTTAAATGTTCACGTGTACATTTTCCCTAATTATAAAAAGACCATCACATTCGTGGTCGTCATTGGTGTGGGTGTGCATGCGTGTGTATTGTCTACACCTTCACACACACATGTGCACATACACCACAGTGGGTGTGTTTTTAAACAAAGCAGGAGTGTGCTGTGTATAGAGCTTATATGCTATCGGACAGCGGATATTCTTAGAGCGAGCCCCCGATCTACCGAGTGTCATTTGTTAGCCTTATTTCTGCCCCTGCGCTTTCTCCCTTACCTCTCCCCTGCTGGGTATTTCAGCCCCGTGCTCCGGCGGGGAGAGCACTTGTCACAGAATTTGTCTGTTGAGAGAGTGGGAAGACTATCAGCCTGTGCCCGCATCAGAGCCGGCCCTCCCGTCACTCAGAATGACAAACCCCGGCCCCACGGAATCCAACGTGCTCCGAGGGCGCGTTGCCCCGCCTGGCACGTCTCGGGCTCCCGTGGCCACAGCCGTCCCTGCCTCCTCGCACCTTAGTTCCAACCTCAGCCCAAGGAAGAGCTTTCTTTCCTGCCTCTTCTCTGACTCTCCTCTGTGGAGATGAGACTGGTTTACTGTCGACTCCGTGATGCCAGCCACGAGCCAGGCCCACCGTTACCACAGTGTCTCCTCCCAGCCGAGTCCTCAGGAGGCGACCCGAGAGGTAGCCACTTTATCCTGATCTTGCGGATACGCTTGGGAAACTGAGACTCCGGCGTGCCAGAGCTGTGGCTGCACCCAGGCCTGGGTGACCCGG